CAAAAACAATCTTAAGCAAGTGCAAATTTGTGGGATCAAAGATTTAATTTATATAAATACAACAAAGAAGAAAACATCAATTAGAATTTATTACTTATTATTTAGTCCAACCACGCCACATTGACGCTAARCTGGCTGCTGTACTGGCTACAAGTCCTGCTCTAACAACACTACTAGCAGACTGTGAAGACAATTGATTATGATCAGCAGGGTATTCGACATTTGGTACCTACAAATAACAGCATTTAAAAATTGTAAATGTCACGTGTCTGTCATTTTAAACATACAGCTTCCCATTCATAATAATTGTCTTCTTCAGAATCCGAGTCGCCAGTACATGAATATAATTGAAAAGTTATCTTATCTTCAAATGCGCTGCATAACTTACTATCAATGTCTGGTGGATCCACCCTAACACAAAAATTTTCTATAAAAAATATATTATAACAATAAGAGATATTAAATCAGAATTATTTTTGAGTAAATATCAAATATCTATACTATGTACAATTGTACAATGCACATATTGTGTCACATAAACTTTATTTCAKTATTAAATTAATTATTTTTTTTAAGTTGTTTGAAAACTTAGTTAAAACATTGATAGTTAATACAAATTTTAATTTACCTTCCTAGATCACTAACAGATGTATCCAATAGTAGCAGCAAATTTTTTAATGTATGATCAGGATGTAGTAATTTAGGGTCAACATTTTGTGAAAAGCACAAGTAAAGAATGTTAGCATTCAAGTGGGTAACATATTTTGCAAATTTTGTTTCATTCAGCTCATTGCCACAAAATTCACTACAAATATATAAATATTAAGTAATGTACCTAAATTCTAAGGTATATGGTTTATGTTTACCGATTACAGTACCTAAAATTAGGACGCCTAGGTAAAAAAACGTCTATAAAAAAGGAAATTTGCTTTACTAATTGCGAGGTATATGTAAGAGCAGCACTTATTGTACAAGCAGGATTTGGTTCAATAAAAGTTTGATGAAACCCATAATCCCTATTCTTATCTGAAACTGGAAAAAAAATAAAAATGAAAAAGCGTTATTAAACTGTACTATTGCTTAAATATACTAGATACATTTATATTAAATATAAACCCCATTCATTATAAGCAGAGTAGTCTCCATTTGCTGGTAGAGTAGGTGCTACAATGCGGTATCCAAGTTCTGTCTGTCTCGACCATTCTTCACAAGTATCTACCCATTGACCGCATACATAAGTAAGTTTTGAAGCTTCTGCTAATGCATGACTTAAACTATTATTAACATCCAGTTCTTCATTCCTATAATAAAACAAAAAGTATAAATAATTTGAAAACAAATGATTWAAGTATAGTAAGAAATATTACCAAAACATTTAAAATAAAATAAATCAAAATATTCTTACATAAATATTTAAAATGCCAATAACATTATCAATTAGCTAATTGTGTTACAGAAACTAGAGATACAACACTGTTTAGTTAAAAATGTATTTCCAGTGTTAGTTTCACAGTTCTACATACCTAATACAAACAACCACTAAGAGTGGTTTTATTTTTTTTATAGAAAAACTAAACTAGGCTTGCTTAAAATTACATTTATTAGATATTTTGTATATTCATAAATTAAATTGATAGTGAATATTATTTATGAATGATATCATAGACATAAGAACTAAGCTTGGTTATCACTTACTACATATAATATATTTGTTGTGTTAAGGGCCCACCTAAGCTTAAGAAGACATTTTACCCACATGTATTATCTATCTTACAAACACATAACACATCAAAATGTACATTCAGCAGTTCCAATATTGTATGGTTACCTATAATATTAAAGTGAATTATCTATTAAAAGATAATAACATTATATGTGTTCTTATGTTGGTTTTTACAATATTTAATTTTTAAGTGAATTATAATAATTTAAAAATATTAATAATTTTCATACTTATAACTTGCATAACCAAATAAATAATTATAAAAAAGATAATATTCTTACCTGTAAGTTTCATAATACATAAATTTGCTCTAATATTTAGACTAACCACATAATTTTGAACTGTTAAATGTAAATTTGGTATATTTTGAAAARTAAGATGGATACAACACAATATGTGAGTGTGATGTCCTATCAATATTAACCAGGTGATTAATAGGATAAGTCTAGATAACTTTCATCACTACCAAGAGTCACCA